AAGTTAACAATGTGATTATATATGTAGATAGACTAGCAGAGTACCCGTTCTTCGTACGGGGGTGGCGTATAAGTATAAAATGCTAAGTGCTTATTGCAGTTTTATACGTACTCTAGTTTTGCGTTTGCAATGGGGGAGGATAAGGCTTGAGAGAATTTCGTTCAATATATTTACATATGCTATAGTATTACAGATATAGTATAGTATATACAATTAGTATTACTAAATCTACCATAGCCTTTCTGTTCTATCACTGCACCTAAACAATATAAAAAAGTAAATTATCAAACATTCACACAATATCACAAATCTATTATATTATTAAAGTGATACAATCAAATTTTATGTAAACGGTTAAGGTCATTTAACAAATAAAAATATAGGCATATGGCACATCAAAATGAAGCTTAGAGTGTGTAGATTTGCCGAAAAGTATTGATATGGACGAATTTCCTGTGGGCTCTGCCCCACAGGCTGATTTTCAAAGGGCTACGCCTTGCATGTTTTGAAGTTAACGCTATTCGAATAATTTAGTGAACAACAGCTAGCCAATGCAATTGACAATATAGTTTGTTTGTTTACATTTTTGTTTACTTATTTTATTATTTACTTTTATGTCCTTAAAAGAGGTGCGGTGAATTAACAGTGAAGCTGAAGCTATTTCTAACTGTTTGATACAAGTGAGTGATTAAAGGTTTTCGAAACACGATGAATATGAGACTAACAAACCATGTATGTTGTTCGTTCTAAAAGGTTGTCACCGATCTTTAACAGGTCGCTATTTCATTGAAAAGTATTGAAAAAGAGCGGCGAGTTCAGGTACAACCGTACCCACCTCGGCCACCTTAGGACGTAAGGTATGAAGGTTCCACTGCTTTTAACATCCTTTCAGATGAGAATTCCTCGAACTTGGGCCCTTTAAATGAAATATAAAGTCAAAGTTGAATAAAATAATTTAATGGTCGCTTCTGTACATCCGTGAATTCGGGGGTAGAACCTCTTGTTATGTATTAAATTAAAAACATAAACATTACTTTATCCTACTTTGACAGTTCTCATTGTGAACCTTATCACTTTTTAATGCTATTGAGTATCATAGAACCAACTTGTTTGGTCGAATCAGCTGACAAAATTAATTTCTTTTAAATGTGAATACCCATAAGATTAACATGGGAAACTCTAGAGCCACTGGGGCAGAGCCTGAAAGGAGTTTTGAGATTACAATATGCCTATATGTTAATCGGGAATGTGAGCTACCATCACCCCAAATTTCAGCCCAATCCGACCAGTATTTTTCACGTTTACTTGTTACAAATATACATACATACATCCAAACTTTTTCACTTATAATATTAGTAGGAATAGTAGGATAATAATAAGATAGGCTATATAGATGGACTAGCAGAGTACCCGTCCTTAGTATGGGGTTGGCATATCAGTATAAAATGCTTATTGCAGTTGCACTCAAGCTTTGCGTTTGCAATGAGGGAGGACATAGTTTGATAAAATTTGCTTCTTTAAATTTACAGTATTCTATGGTATTACACATCTACCATAGCCCTAATGTTCTACCACTTCCCCTAAACAATAGAGAAAAATAAATTAATACAAAATTTGCATAATGTCGCAAATTATTCATGAAATTAAACAAATTAACATAACTGTAAACAATCCTACTTTGACAGTTAGTTCTCATTGTGTATCACAGTTATTTTTTGCTGCTTAGGTCAAATTAGCTGTGCAAAAAAAATATAGTGCTGCACCCTGTTGGTAAATATTATAACTTTTTAATGCTTTTGCATATCATAGAACGATAGAACCAACTTTTATAGTTGAAACAGCTGACTACAGTCGGGACCACGCAAGTTTGCAGTTGAGGGAGGAGCCTATTTACCATATGGTTTTGAATGAACCAATGAGAACCGTGCGGTGTTGCCAAATCTAATAATACCAGCTGATTTGAAAATATTGCTCAGTATATTTTAATTAGTGTTGTCAACGGGCGATGTGGCAACGTCGCACTAGCCTTGTCTTGTGATTGGCTGCCACCAACTGCAAACTTACGTGGTCCCGAATCTCAATTCTTTAATTCCCTTTAAATATGAATACTCATAAGGTTAACATGGGGAACTACAGAGCCACTGGGGCAGAGCCCTAAAGGATTTTTGAGATAAGAATATGCCATATGTTAATCGGGAATGTGAGCTATCATCATGCCAAATTTCAGCCCAATCCGTCCAGTGGTTAATGCGTGATTGAACTTCAAACAAACAAACACACAAACTTTCACATTTATAATATTAGTAAGATGTATAACCAATGCAATATCATATCAAACAGCTGCTTGATTTATCACTTTAACACAAAATATTAGGATTAGGAGTTATTTATGACGGAATATAATGGCACTACTTATGTTAATAAAAAGGCTACTGTATTTGAAAGAGCTAGAAACACACTCATTTTTACTATCAATTTCTTATTTTCAACAATAAACCAATATCGTAGAAAGCTATGCCTAACTGATAAGGTTAGGCACCAGACCTACGCAAACCCCTGTGAACACAATGAGGACAATAAATGTGGTAAGGTAATAATAATGAATCTATCACTTGAGATCGATAGTTGGTGTGGTGTGTGCACTCAATGCTGCCTCCCACTTCCTAGAACATTTATTTCCTCTCTGCTCCTGTTGTATAAAACCATTAACTAAACATAACTTTTACTGTACATGCAAATCTTACACGGGGAAGGTTGGGTTTCAGCAGTCTGAGCCCACTGGTCTAAAATATAATATTACTAGCTGTTTTGCCCCCTCTTGGTTCGGGCAATGTTTTGTAAAATAAATTTTAGGAATACAGCTGTAAAAACTTAGGTTTATCATCAGACGATGGAAATTAACTGCCAATTAAATGGTGTACAAGTCTAATCACTTTGAAATACAGCAATGGAACCATATACAGAGTTATAAGAAGGATGGAGGACAAAGTCAAGGATTATACATAATTTATTTTCTCCAATTACTATCCACTAGTCATTGCGGGTAAATGTGGTTGTTCCAATCGCCGGTCCATCATCCTGTCATTGTGTCTCTTATTTTGTCATCTCTTACATTGTCAAATGTAGTTTTGTAGTTTTATTTGTAACAGTTTTCGTGCTTCTGTTAAAATTAAACTTATGCTAACATAATTTTTCACAATATACAAATTAATTCATATACAGGGAGCGGCAAAATAATCTGACGGTTTTCTTTGCCGCCCTGTCGAGCGAATGAGTGGCGTAGGGTGGTGGGAATAGGGGCATTACAAAGCCAACGTGTGAGCATTTTTAGTAGCCATGGAGCCGTGGGATAGCTGAGCAACATGTATTTGTAGTAGAAGTGTTTTTAAAAGTGGAAATTCCTGTGTAGCTGTTCAGTACACGTTTCAATGTGGGTCAAAGAAGAAAAGTCCCAAGTCGAAACACCATTTTGCTGTGGGTGGGTAACTTTAGAGCTACTAGTTCGGTGTGAAACTAAAGAGAGTGAGGAAGACTGTATGTTGTGGTTCAAAGTGTGATTCGTCGCTCGTAATGAAAATGTTGTTACGTGTAAGAAAATCAATCACTACTTGTTCTGAAAAAGAGATGCGCATTGCATCTCTGGGTTTCAACTGTTGCACAATTGCCATTTTGTATGATTGGAAATGCAGGTCGTATTGTAATACTCTTCTACCGAGCGGCCAGACAAGTACAGAGCTGCAGATTATTAACGTTTAGACCATTGAGGACTAACTTCCACAGCTTCTCTCACTCTCTCAGCGTTCTCTAGCGTCCGGGCTGACCTTGGACTTGGACAGCCTGTTGGCTTTTTTCAATACTGAACTAGTAGCTCTGAAGTTACCTACTCACTGCAAAATGGTTTTTTGAGTTGGGACTTTTCCCCTTGGACCCACATTGAAACGTGTACTTAACAGCTACACAGGAATTTCCACTTTTAAAAACACTTCTACTACAAATACATGGTGCTCAGCTATCCCACGGCTCCATGGCTACTAAAAATGCTCACACGTTGGCTTTGTAACGCCCCTATTCCCACCACCCTACGCCACTCATTTGCTCGACAGGGCGGCAAAGAAAACCGTCAGATTATTTTGCCGCTCCCTGTAGATATGAAGTATTCTTATTAATTGTTGTTAATATTAGCCGTCAGTCATGGTAAAAAATACAAGGTGTCTGTCAGTTGGTTAAACTAAATTTCAGTGACTTGAAAATGAGATGGTCAGGCATGCAATAAGCCTATTTTTAAATGGAATATTATTTATTTACTCAGTCAAAGTAAAGGCCACAAGGCCCGTTTTTATTTTGTGCCGTATTGTAACAATATTGTTTTTGTTTAAAATGGCTGACATCTAAGACAAGTTGTAGCTCTTGGTCTCAGTGCAAATAGGGACATTGGGACTATTTTTATTTTTATACCAGTTGTATCGGTCTCGGTATCGAATCAAGCGATACCTGATCGGTATCTAAAGAAAATACCCAGTTTCGGTATTCCATGATATATACCATGACTGAATGTCTTTTGTGCGGTGTCAAAGACCAAAGTGTAACTGATGTTGCATTTCCGGTCATGTTGGATCTGTGGTTTTTTCCCCAACCTGAAGGTGACATGAAAGACTGTGTTGAACCAGGAAAATGATTTTGAAATTAAATTTAAAAAACTAGTCCACCTAAATGTTTTAATCTATGTATATATTTAATAAAAATGAACTTCAACCTGGAGGCGAGTTAGCGTAGCGAACGAGCTAACCTGAAGGCAAGTGAGCGCAGCGAACGAGCTCCAACCTAAAGGTGAGTGAGCGTAGCGAACGAGATCCAACCTAAAGGTGAGTGAGCGTAGCGAACAAACTTCAACCAGGACGTGATTGAGCCATGCGAACGAGATAATCTTGAAAATTAAGAAGTTAAACGGGGCAAAGCCCGCAGGTTACAGCTAGTATTTAATAAAAATGGTCTTTTTTCAGAATAGGCAGTCGATTTGAAGAGGAAAAGGAACTTTTATTCATGTTGCAAGAAAGATAATTGACATAATCTGCTATTTAAATACATTAAACGGCAGCTAAAAAAAGTTGTTACTACAATAAAAGTACTACACAATGAAAGTAAGTTCACTATGTAAAACTTAAAATTCAATTTATACATAACTTTTACATGGCTGATGCAATATTATTAGAAAACTACATGAAATATAGAAGCAAAGTTTTCTTAAATAAGCTAATTTAACTTGATGGTACATCAAAGTCAAGACAAAAAAGCAAATTGCCTCGAGTAGGCTATGTTGTTTGATAATTATAATACAAATAATATTTGAACAAGGGTTGATGAAATGTTATTGATACATATATATAATAACTGTTCAACATTTAACAAATCCTACAAAACAAGGCATATATTTAGATAAAAATGCAAAGCCAATCGACAAACTCCAATCAGTTACTAGCTTGTCAGAAATCAGAATAAAAAAAAATGTTTAATATCACTAAAAATCTTACAAATAAGTGTCCAATATGTAGAAAAATGTTTTCAACTATATCATCAATGAAGTGTCATATATACTTACACACGGGCGAGCGTCCCTTTAGATGTTTGACTTGTGATAAAACATTTATTCAGCTACATCAAGTGAAGTGTCATTTGTTGACACATTCTGGGAAGTGTCCTTATAAGTGCACAATATGTGGAAAATCTTTCCAAACTAACAGCTATATGAAGACTCATCATACAACAGTTCACATTGGAAAGCGACCTCATAAGTGCACTTTATGTGGAAAATCTTTCCAAACCGGCAGCCACATGAAGAATCATACATTGGTTCACATGGGAGAGCGACCTCATAAGTGTACTATATGTGGAAAATCCTTTAAAAGCAAAATATATATGAAGCGACATACATTGGTTCACACTAAAGAAAGACCTTATAAGTGCACTATATGTGGAAAATCCTTCAAAACCAAGAATGAAATGAAGCTTCATACATTGGTTCACATGGGAGAGCGACCTCATAAGTGTACTATATGTGGAAAATCCTTCAAAACCAGCAGCAGTATGAAGAACCATCATACAATGGTTCACATGGGAGAGCGACCTTATAAGTGTAATGTATGTGGAAAATCTTTCCAAACCAACAGCTATTTGAAGATTCATCGTACAACGGTTCACATGGGAGAGCGACCTCATAAGTGCACTATATGTGGAAAATCCTTCAAAACCAGCAGCATTATGAAGAATCATATATTGGTTCACACGGGAGAGCGACCTCATAAGTGCACTATATGTGGAAAATCTTTCCAAACCAGCAGACACATGAAGAATCATACATTAGTTCACATGGGAGAGCAACCTCATAAGTGTACTATATGTGGAAAATCCTTTAAAAGCAAAATATATATGAAGCGACATACATTGGTTCACACTAAAGAAAGACCTTATAAGTGCACAATATGTGGAAAATCCTTCAAAACCAAGAATAAAATGAAGCTTCATACATTGGTTCACATGGGAGAGCGATGTCATAAGTGCACTATATGTGGAAAATCCTTCAAAACCAGCAGCAGTATGAAGAATCATATTATATTGGTTCACACAGGAGAGCGACCTTATAAGTGTAATATATGTGGAAAATCTTTCCAAACCAACGGCTATATGAAGATTCATCATACATTGGTTCACAGAAGAGCAATGTACGTGATTGGTGGTCCTGAACCTGTAACCCTGACTGACAAAGTGAGAAAAAATCTTATTCCTCTATAGAGCTACTCTATTAGCCAGCAACCTAATTCCTGCTAAACTCTACCTCAATAGAAAACTAAGGATTCAACTTGATGCCATCTTCCCTTAACAACACCCTAAATCAAATATCCAGCTTGTTTCAGGCCTGTGAGAAGGCGATCAAAGTGAGTACCTACGAGGAGATAGAAAAGATAAAATAACTGTTCTTCAGCTGTACCTAATTTCTGATTTTATTAAGATTTTGAATAATTTAAATTTTATATAACTTGCTTTGAAAACTTAAACATGGTAGATACAAATTTAAATAATTACAAAACAAACCTATCTGTTTTTATAACACTGAAATTTACATTACAGTACTTGTAATTTTATATATACAACTAGCTGTACCCGCAGGCTTTGCCCCGCTTAACTTCATAAGTATTTGCATGGCTCAATCACATCCTGGTTGAAGTTCGTTCGCTACGCTCACTCACCTTCAGATTGGAAATCGTTCGCTGCACTCACTTGTTTTCAGGTTAGCTCGTTCGCTACGCTTACTCGCCTCCAGGTTGATGTTCGTTCGCTACGCTAACTCACCTTTTGGTTGGAAATTAGCTGGTGTCATAAATTTAAATAAATGGTATCAGCATTCTGACACATACTTTCTCCCATAAGTTTGTCTACAACAAGTTTCTATACAACCTTTATCATGTGTAAGCGGTGAGAGTAAATATACGGGAATGGGATTAGTAAAATTTTGTTCAGAATTTAAAGGACTACAGAGGCCTACTAAATTTTTATCAAAATCGTTCGGGCCGTTTTTGTGAAAATCCGAATTTCCAAGTCATTCCTTTTATTTTTTATAATACTTTGATAAAGGATTTTATGTTTTAATATTTAACATTGGAGATTTTAAACGTTGTATATTGCACAGGTGTGCTGCGATTGGGGTTTAATACATTTGGACTTATTAAAGAGTAAAATTGTTTTCTGTGCTGCACCCTGTAGAAACACTGTGGCACTATTTCAAATCATGACTAATGCTAATACAGAATGTTGTGATTATTTAAACCTACAAAACAGTTGGTGAAAGTAAACATCTGCTTTTAAATTATATTTATTTGTAAACATTGTAGATCAAAAAGTCTGACATTGGCCCACTTAAAACCCTCTAGGGCAGAGCCCTTTATAAACATAGCCCTTTTGGTATGAAACAAACTCATGAACAAACAATTATAAGACTCCTAAAAAACCTTTTGGGCAACCTAAAGCCGATAAAAAGGTAGGAAATATTGTGTTAAACGAATTCATCAATCACGTTTTTTAGGGAAAACAATCGTCATACTTATCTTCCCTTCATTTAACTAAGATTTTAATGACTTCACTCTAGCCATCGCAATTAGCTGAATTTACATAAAACCTCAAGATTAACCGTCGATTTCGACGGGGTTCCACTAGTCTATATACTAATTTGAAACTGTTTTTCTTTGTGACAGCTATTTTGAGAGAACGGCTGGGCGTAGAAACACGGTAGAGGTGTCTAAAGAAAGGGCTTGGTCTGTAGATGAGCCATCAAAAGAGAAACGTGGTAAATTCCCTTGGGGCTCAGCCCCAGTGGCCTTTAAATTCCCATCCCATGTTATTCTTATGGGGGGAAAACGGGTTTTTGTCACAGCTAATTTCAGAGAAAGGCTGGGCGTAGAAACTCGGTAGGGGTCTCTAAAGAAAGGTCTTGGTCTGTAGATGAGCCGTCAAATGAGAAACGAGGTAAATTCCCTTGGGACTCTGCCACAGAGGCCTTTAAAGTCCCCTCAGCAGATTTGTTTACATTATGACCATATGTACAATTTTACACAAATTTTTAATGAAACAGCTGTTAATATTTAAATTGTGATTTACTGAATTTGTCAAAAATAAAGTATTTGCAATAGTTTTTTCTGATTTTAAAATCGATTTTCTTCTGCATCGTGTCATGTTTTGCAATATAATATTCTATTGCCAAATCAGTGGAAAATCCTAATATCACAGTAACTCTTAATATTATTTCTTATTGAGTTAACTTATGTCTATTGTATGGGTTGGTTTCTGCCTTTTTTACCACTTCTTGGAGATTGTACGTAGGCGTGTTGCACGTAGATGATATTCTTTGGCGTATTGCATCTGTAGACGATACTATGGGTTGGTGTAATTATTACAATGGAAAAAAATGAAAAATCCTGGACAATTTGATATAGGCCTACTGAAAATAAAACTGAATTAACACTGTGCTACATTTCTTGGGCAATCATTGAAAGAGCCGATTTGCAAACAATGTAAACATAAGAATGTCATAGAACACAACCAAGTAGAAGAAATAGAAATAATGTTTTTTTTCTTCATTTATAATCATTATTATAGAGAACTAATGCGGCTATGAGTTGGAAATATTTGTAGAAAACTCTAAAAACAAGATCAGCTTTTGAAAAAAGATAAGATATTTACAAACAAACAAAGTTTGTAATGCTTCGCAATTGCTCGAATTCGAGCAACAGGTACACTAGTGTAAATGAAGAGGCCAATGTATCACAAATTAATATTGAAATGATTACGGCTGATGTTATGGTTCTGCAGGTAAAAATAAAAAAAAACACATTTTCCAATGTTTTTAGTATTTATAGATTGTTAATGTACTCTGAAATTACTTTTATAAATGAATTATCTGATAAATTAATTGATTTGAAAAATAATAGGCTACTATTATTATAGATGTGAATATTAATTTATTAAGTTCTAGTCAAAATAATGTTTAGAACTACCTTAGCTTGTTAAATAATCATAGTTTTATATTTGTTGTACAAAATCCAACTAGAATTACCAACACTTCTAAAACGCTTGTTGATCATACTTTTATCACACATGCCAATTTAAATATATTCAATAATTAACTGATCACTGTTTATTAGGTTTAAAGATGTACCATTCAAATAAGAGCATTATATCAAAAGAGCAAGATAGTTCATCCTATTTTCAAAACACTGTGAACTATGATTTAGTGAATAGGAAGTGAAAACTGGGAAGAATGTTTCATTACAAATGACGCAAATTATAGTTACAACATATTTTGTCATCGTCAATTTTATTATGCGTGATTCGATCAACTCGATATCACGGACGATCAGTTATTATAAAATATCAGAAATGACAAAAATAAATGTGAACAAAACCCCATCTTCTTTATTTCATTCAAACATCAAACAACAACTAAACTATTTACTGTTTTTTAACAAAACAATTGAAAAACATATGACTGTTTATATATTAATTATTTAAACAGTCTTTTGGCAAACTTATATGAAATATATTGAGGGGTTTTCATTATCAATGATTAATCATCGTACGTTAATCATCCCCCCCAAAACCCTCAATATGTATTTCAAATCTTCTTCTTTCTAGACCTTAAGTTATACCCAGGTGAGGCATCGTTATGGTCTTCTGCTTCTTGCACATCATTTTCTGCTTGAGTTGCTTCACGGAGAGTTTGCGGGAGTATTTTTAACTCCGACATTAAAACCTTTTTAACATTAACCATAATTGGTGGATCAGACCTCAAGAGGTACACTCCCTTCCCTAGCTTGTGTTCCACCTCAAAGTATTCACACGACGTAACATTGAACGCAGGTAGTATCTTGGTGTCCGTTGCAGTTGACGTGACCACAGGAGAATCGGTCCGATGCAGGATCCCATCCTCGTCTCCTGAGATGGCTGATGAGTCCTCGATCATCTCTGTCCCTCGTAGGATCTCTTCTGCACCTCCTGTGATGACCGTTGAGTCCTCGACCCTCTCTGTTGGCCGCAGGATCTCTTGTCTATCTCCCAAGATGGCTGATGAGTCCTCGACCATCACTGTCCGTCGCAAGATCTCTTCTGCACCTCCTGTGATGACCGTTGAGTCCTCGACCCTCTCTGTTGGCCGCAGGATCTCTTGTCTATCTCCCAAGTTGGCTGATGAGTCCTCGACCATCACTGTCCGTCGCAAGATCTCTTCTGCACCCCCTGTGATGACCGTTGAGTCCTCGACCCTCTCTGTTGGCCGCAGGATCTCTTGTCTATCTCCCAAGATGGCTGATGAGTCCTCGACCATCACTGTCCGTCGCAAGATCTCTTCTGCACCTCCTGTGATGACCGTTGAGTCCTCGACCCTCTCTGTTGGCCGCAGGATCTCTTGTCTATCTCCCAAGTTGGCTGATGAGTCCTCGACCATCACTGTCCGTCGCAAGATCTCTTCTGCACCTCCTGTGATGACCGTTGAGTCCTCGACCCTCTCTGTTGGCCGCAGGATCTCTTGTCTATCTCCCAAGATGGCTGATGAGTCCTCGACCATCACTGTCCGTCGCAAGATCTCTTCTGCACCCCCTGTGATGACCGTTGAGTCCTCGACCCTCTCTGTTGGCCGCAGGATCTCTTGTCTATCTCCCAAGATGGCTGATGAGTCCTCGACCATCACTGTCCGTCGCAAGATCTCTTCTGCACCTCCTGTGATGACCATTGAGTCCTCGACCCTCTCTGTTGGCCGCAGGAACTCTTGTCTATCTCCCAAGATGGCTGATGATTCCTTGACGATCACTGTTTGTCGAAAGATCTCTTCTCTATCTCCCAAGATAGCTGATGAGTCCTGGACCATCTCTGTACTATTCAGGATCTCATCTGTATCTCCCGATAAGGCCAATGAGTCATCAAACGGCTCTGTCTGACGTAGGATCTCTATACCTCCCGGGATGGCCGATGAGTCCTCGGCTAACTCCAAGATATTTTCCCGATTGTTGAATTTGATTTCATTGTATTTAATTTCGATGTCCGATTTGTCTGTTTCATAGGTGTTAGTAATAAGTTTAGTTTCTGATTTTGATTGGTTTTGGTTTTCCGAAATCTTTTTAATGGAGGATGAAATTACATTTTTGATGCCTCCCAAATGAGTATCCAATTGTTTTGATCGAGTATCTAACTGTGCCGAAATCTTTACTAGTAACATACTCACCGGGTCTGCTGGTGGTTCTCCTAAT